CCCCCCCCCCCCCCCCCAATCCAAATGTCGTTTACTTCCAGACGTTGACCTAAAATGAACAGCACGCGACCTCATTCCGTGTCAGCTGTCTGACACCGTTATTATTTTGTTGCCTTTTTGCCCTACCCCGGTGTGAGCTCTGACGTCAATATCGGGTTACGACTTTGGGCTGCTCCTTGGATATTTTCCTCCTCACTGCTGCAATGGATTTGATTTCAGTCACATATTCGCTGGGCACCGATGAATTTCTAGGACGTCTCGCCGGGCCTTTCCCGGGGCGTTGCTTTCGCGGGGGTGCCGCGACGCATGGACTCGTGTTCTTGATAGACGTCTCTTGCTCAGAGTTATCTCCGCCTTTGTTCTTTGCTCGATGAGTCTTTAAGAGCGTCGTTACCGCATTTGCGATGGAATTCTTTTGATCTTTGTGAAGACTCCTGGTCAGAGGGATAATCGCATGATTAGCTATACATTTTTTAAATGTTATCTCTGGATCGTGGGGAAACACGCATAAAAAATCAAGACTGGAAAGAAAAGGGAATCGAATGACAGAACAAATAGCAGGGCAAAATATGACATGAGATCAAATGACATGACAACAAATAACATAAGAAAAAATGACATGAGATCAAATGAAAAGAAAACAGACGAAATGAGAACATATGACATGAGATTAAATGACATGGGAGCAAATGACGTGAGATCAAATGACATGCGAGCAAATAACATTACAAAAATGGCATGAGAAAAAATGACACGAAATCACATGACAAAAGAACAAATGTCATGAAAACAAATGACATGAGAACTATTGGCATGGTAAAAAATGACATAAGCTCAAAGGACTTGAGAAAAAAAAATACACATTTTTTTTAATACCTCAGCTTTTCACCAAGCGGAGCTCTCGCATATCCAAAACGTGGACTGAAAAAATTCTTCTTCCGGTAACCTTGACAAAAGGATATAAAACAACTGTTGACGATGTCCAAGATTATTGTGGAAAGAGAAAGGGGCCATTGGGTTTTCATTACAGCGTTTCCATATGCATGGTTACTCGATCCCGATAACAATCAAGGATAACAACACAATTTTTTCCCCAGAAAGATCACCACTGCCCTTTATTGTGTTTGTCATTCATGGGACCCTCACTACCTGATCTCCTATTACATTCTTCAAGACTAAAAAGGACACAGTTAAACTATTTAAAAAAAAAAAAATACTTTAAAAAAACACGCTTTTCCAAAACTTTACTAAAAAGTATGAAATAAATGTCCACAGAACTTCAGAGGTGTTACATTCATTTGTTCAAAATGAGTGGGGGCGCCCATGAACTCAATGTAATTTTGTTGTAAATCGCAAAGGCATGCACGCAGCGGTATCGCCAATTTCACTCCGCCTGCCGAGATCACGATCAATGGGAGCGTACAACAGTAATGAAAGGCATTCGCGAGAACTCGTATTACCATGATTAAATAATGTGTATCATGGCCATTGTGTCACAAAGCACTTACTTGCAGCAGTTCACGGGTGAGCGTGCGTCCAGCATTGTATCTGTCAAGTCATACGACATCATTGTATTTCATGGACGCCCCAAGCTGGTTTTTTCTTATGACTGTAACAACTCTGAAGGTTTGGGGGACACTTCTTTAACACTTTTTAGTACATTGGGGGGGGGGGAAATCTTGTGTTTTTTGTTGTTTTTTTAAAATTATTTACATTTGTTTCCCCTCATTTAGTGACTACTGAGTGTTGCGTCACCATCACTTCAGAACGAGTTCAAAGGTCATGTGACAGGGTGCAAAAATTAATCCATCGAAAAAATTCAAAACATATCCCCCAGCCCCCACCCCTTTTCCCTCCGGGGCCTGAATAATCACTTGCATATGTTTCGGTGAGCCAATGCGTCTCTGTTTCCTTAGCATGAATAATTACCTGGAATAAAAGGTCGCGGGTGGGTGCGGTCAGGGGCGTTCTCTGGAGTGTCACGGGGCGTCGCCTGGAGATATTGAACATGACTTTAGCTGGGCATGAATAATGGTTTGGCGTTTTGTGTTACTCGTGTGTCGAAAATATACACTCACTCCTGCGTTGTAGAAATATAATTCCACACACACATATTTGTTACTATAAGTCGGGGCTGAGTGCCCGGGTTGTGTGATGTCATGGATGTGTGCCCAGGAGAACGTGAAGTCAGGGCTGTGGTCTCGGGATAACGTGAGGTCAGGGCAGTGGCCCCGGGATAATGTGATGTCAGAGCTGTTGACCCTTGTGATGTCAGTGATGTTGGCCCGTGTGATGTCAGTGCTGTTGGCCCGTGTGATGTCAGTGCTTTTGGCCCGTGTGATGTCAGTGCTGTTGGCCCGTGTGATGTCAGTGCTGTTGGCCCGTGTGATTTCAGCGCTGTTGGCCCGTATGATATCATCAAAAACGTATCATATTTTCAAACATTCATAGTTCTATAATCAATTGGTAATAAAATAATTTGATAACTAAGACCTGACGCAGACATCTTGGTATATCATGTCTGCTTGATGCCCCCCAACCCTATTTCTTTCTTTCAATCTTACCAAGAGTGATTGTGGGCAGCCATATCTGTCCGTTGTGTTGTGGTCCCTTTTGTTTAATTCCAGCGACAAAATTGCTGAGTCATGCGTGTTATGGGTCTGGCCGGGATGATCTGGCATTTCGTTCTCAATCTTCCCTGTCCTTTTCTTAAAATGTTTCGTTGCAACTTTACTGTAGTAACTCTCTCTGGACATTGTTGTGTGGGGGGGGGGAAATGAAGATATTTACTATATTCGACTTCAACTTGAAGCAGGGGCGTCATTTCTGGGGGGGGAAATGAAGATATTTACTATATTCGACTTCAACTTGAAGCAGGGGCGTCATTTCAGTTTCTTTCGTTCTTTCGGGGGATTGGGGGGGGGCAAAACTTGGTCGGCTTGTTGTTTATTACTGGATGGGCCATAGTGCATAGCAATTTAAATAAAACCTGCAAATTCAGGCTGGGTTGGGGGTGGGGGCAAATGCCCCATCGTGTCCTACCCAAATGACGTGCCTGACTTCAAGTAAATCTATAATAAAAAATATATATCCTGCATTACCTCACAAATAAGTAGTGGTACAAGATAGGTTTAGATTTGAAAATTAAAGTCAATAATTTTACGCGCACGTTTCGGCAAGATGCCTTCCTCGGTAATATAATAGACAAGAGATATATTTTAAGTGAAAAGTAAAACTTATGTTTTGGAAGATCTCAATAAAAATCGATGTAGCTCAGTGTTCAGAGCAATGGGCGCTCTATGTTATTGATAGAAACGGAAATTAGATTTGTTCAATACCAAACCTTGCGCCTTTTATATAAGTTAGGCGGGAAGAACGAGATCTGATAGTTTCAGTGAACATCTTTGTGGTATTAAACAAAAACAGGACGTCCCCGGTCTCCATTACATTTCGACTGTGGTGAACACAAGAGCGCGTCAGTATCCATCACGGCAATGATTTATTGCACCAATACACCAGCAAGAATGAAGAATTGAATACCATGTTATTCAAAATTTCGGTACCATACCACCATACGAGATTCCTTATTTACCTCCATTCTAGTCTCAATTTTTGCTGTTCAGAATAGGATAATTGATAATACTTAAATTCTTTTCGCGTGAAAGTACGCATGGCTGAATAATGTAGGACGCACGTTTCGGTTTTGGACTCGTCGTTAATTTTCAAGCCCAAATATATCTTTTGCCACTATTTCTTTACTTTACATGGCTGGAAATTGAACGCAATACCTGAGATTAAATCATTTCTTACTTTAACAATTTATTTGACAAAGAGCTTGTAGATTTATTTGGAAGAGCTTTTTGAAATTGGCATGTTATTGGGGCTTGTTGGTAATTGGGGGTTTGTTGGTAATTTGGGGCTTGTTGGTTATTGGGGCTTGTTGGTTATTAGGGCTTGTTGGTAATTGGGGGTTTGTTGGTAATTGGGGGCTTGTTGGTTATTGGGGCTTGTTGGTTATTGGGGCTTGTTGGTAATTGGGGGGTTGTTGGTAATTGGGGGCTTGTTGGTTATTGGGGCTTGTTGGTTATTGGGGCTTGTTGGTAATTGGGGGTTTGTTGGTAATTGGGGGCTTGTTGGTTATTGGGGCTTGTTGTTTATCGGGGCTTGTTGGTAATTGGGGGCTTTTTGGTAATTGGGGGCTTGTTGGTTTTTGGGGCTTGTTGGTTATTGCCCAACACCTTGTGGGTTATTGTGTGGGGCTTGTTGGCTATTGTTATTTGGTATGGTTTGTTGGTTATTGGGTAGGGCTTGTTGGCTTTTGGGTAGGGCTTGTTGGTAATTGGGTAGGGCTTGTTGGTTATTGTGTAGGGGTTGTTGGTTATTGGGTAGGGCTTTTTGGTTATTGGGTAGGGTTTATTTATGTTTTAGGAATTGGTGTGTTGTTGTATGTGTGACAAAGTTTTTAGTGTATGTGTAACGAGGTTTTGGTGTATTTGTAACGAAGTTGTTGGTGTATGTGTAACGAGGTTGTTGGTGTATGTGTAACGAGGTTGTTGGTGTATATGTGACAAGGTTGTTGGTGTATTAAGACAGACATTGTATAAGAGCCTAGAGAAGATACTGGGTCTTTGAGAAGATTATCATCAATATTCGATTATTGATGGGTGTGGAAAGTAATCACGTAAAACCATTTAGACGAATTACTTTGAAAAAGGTTCACATTGATGAACTTAAGGTCACCTGAATAGTTCACTGAGTGGATCATTAATTACGTCAATGTTCTTCTCAAAGCTTGGATTACTGTAAAATGTCTTCTTTCGGTTACCTTTTAGATGAGATTAAGCATTGAATAATTAAGTGAATTGATTTGATCAGGCATTATTTTAATTGCTTCTCATAGCCAATGCGCTAAAAATAAATTATGAATTAAATTATGAATGTGTTGGATGGATTTAAGTTGACTTTGTTTTCAAAAAGAATAATTTAAGGATCTCTCTTGGGGGTTCTTTTCCCCTCTCTATATCCCTCTCTCTCTCTCTATCCCTCATTCTCTCTATCCTTCTTTTGCTCTATCCCTCCTCTCTCTATCCCCTCTCTCTATCCCTCATTCTCTCTATCCATCTCTCTCTATCCTTCTTTCGCTCTATCCCCCCCCCTTTCTCTCCATCCCTAGCCCTCTCTCTCTCTCTCTCTCTCTCTCAATCTCCATCTCAGTTACAGTATGTGTAAGAAAGATATTCTTGTGGGGAGGTAATTTGGTGTGGGGATCTTTGGAGGACACTGTATCATCTTGCTCAGCCGTATCTATTTCCTCCCACGTGTCTCTCTCCAAAACTGAGGATCTGACACTCTCATAAGCTCCACTTTCTCTCTCTCTCTCTCTCTCTCTCTTTCACACACACACACAGTCAAACTTCCTGCCATTCGCCTCACTTCCACACAGTACTAAACGTAAAATCGGAGACCCCTCGTTACCTGGCGGCACTGAGTTCTTCTGCGTGCAGTCCAAGACATCGATCTGTGAGTCACTTGTTGTTCCCTACAACAAACAAAGATGTGAACGTCACCATCAAACTCTCTGGCCAGCGTGTCCCTACCAAAAACAACCCACACACGCCGCGGACTCGGATTAGAGAGTTTAAATCACGTGGTGTGCTGGTGTTGAAGTCTAAACAAATTGATTGGTTTACTCAACAATCTCTAACCTAAAATATAGCTGCAGCTTCTAGCTCTATGGGTTTTTTTTATATAAAGAAATTTAAACACATCATGTTGAGGTCAATATATTTCAAAGTTTGTATGTGATTTTGTGTTGCAGACCAATAGTGTTGTAATCTGAGTGGGATGTGGTCCATGTTGTTTTTTTTGTTTTGTTTGTTTTTTGTTGTTGTTTTTTTGCAGGCGTTAAATAAAAACATAAAATAATTTGTGATGGTAGCTTCATTCTGAGCGATTACTTATGAGTGAGGGTAATAAGGGGGAAACAATGCTATTGAAACAAACGAATGGGAGTCCATTGCCGAACATCGCTCCGACTGGCGAACAGCAGTGTTTGAGGGAGTAAAAAAGGCAGAAGTTACTCGAAACGAGGCCCTTGAATCAAAAAGAACAATTCGGAAATCAAGAATTTACCGGGATTCAACATTCTCCTGCGAGAGATGCAGGCCGTGATTGCCATTCTAGGATTGGCCTAGTGAGCCACTCGTCAAAATGTAGAACTATACAGCTACTCCATCGTCTCACGAAGACGGAAGGATGCCATTTATATAATAAGGGGAGAGACTGCAATCAGTTTAGCACACTATAAATAAGTAAAACAGAGTCAGGTTAAACGAGACAAAAGGAACGCAACAAAACAACGAACGTGTCGGCAGAAAGCCTTCATCGGTGGAAAAAAAAACATAGAAAAAACGGTATAAAAATAAAAAAAACAGGACTTAGCTTAGACGTAGTATGCCGACACGTTCGTTGTTTTGTTGCGTTCCTTTTTTCAGGTTTAACCCTACTCTGTTTTACTCATTTTACACTTATTAGTGAGTAGACTCCCCAAAAGGCAACGTTTGTAATATACAAAATAAGACAAATGAAATTAGTGAACAGTCTCACCCAGAGCGAATGAGGGCAGCAGTAAGTATCACTTTCGCCGTGGTCCAGAATGAAAATAGACGATTCGCTCGAATTGCAGGAAGTGCTCAAATTGTCCGGGAGCCGATTCTCAAACAATCGCGCCCGGTCTATATCGTGCAGTGGGGCCACTTTGTTGAAGTAACATTCCCTGGAAACAGTCACAATATCAAAAAGTCATGCATTATAACTAAATATAGATAACTTAGACTTTTTCCACTTAATAATCATATAAAATTTAATTTTTTTAAAAAGTGATTTGCCTTAAATAGGGTTTGTCATTTAAGTTAAGTGAGGAAACCTTTTAATGGAACATCCGGGCATACAGTCTGACCAATTTCAATGAGATATTAATATGGAAATCCTGGTATTCCGTTTGGCCAATCTCTCAACAACTGTTTAGTACCTATACGTTAATGTGGGGACCTGGACGACAACGTGTTTAAAACATTATTTTACGAAAGATTTTTACAAACAAAATGTTACTGCTATATATACATAGGCAGAAAAACATTGTTAGAAGCTATGCTTTTTGGAAGAAAAAAAAATCTAAAAATAGTAACATTACGTAATGCGATGTGAATTTTTTCCGGTCTTAAAAATGACAAACCCTCTAACACAGAAACGCTACACAACCTTCATAGATGAATGTGGTTCATTTTAGCTCTGGCGGAACTACTACCTGAGCATGCCCAAAATTTACATGCAAATGAATTAACGACTGAACCTATGACGTCTTTCCCTTATCTTTTATGTCATGAAATGACGTCATAGAAAAAAAACTTGTTTGTTTCTGAGGTTGTTTTTTTCCTTTATCCCCCTCCCCCTTTTTTTTTTCTCTTTCGATGATTGAACTTGATGAAATCAACTCCTTTTTTGTAGTTTACATTACATCTGTTAATTTAAATTATATCTGTAACTTATCAGAGTGCGTCTCGCAAAACGCTCAAACCGTGGTTCTCAAACATGTCAGCCTAAGAGGCCGGGCAGGCATGAAGCGATGACATTGCAGTGTGAACCGGTGCCCAATTCTTTAAAAGTGATATTTTTTCGACCTGATCAAATTGTTCTCCTTTGCCCTGACACTGCTGCTAAGGGCTTAAGTAACCGGTGCGGGTCAACAGATCACCTCTTTGAGAAGCCTTGCGGTAATGTCTACTAGCTAGCCTTTACCCGTAAACGCTCCGATGTGAAGCGGTCATTTTATGATTTTAAAAAAGTAAGTTTTTATCCCACAAAGAATTACCTCACAGTCCAAATGAATTACCTCTCAGACTCGATGAATCACCTCAAAGGCCCATTGAATTTCCTCTCAATATCATTGAATTACCTCACAAGTTCCAATACATTACCTCCAGTCCCAGTTATTAATTACTTGTCAGTTCCGATGAATTACCTGAAAATCCCAATGAATTACCTCTCGGTCCCAATGAATTACCTCTCAGTCCCGATGAATTACCTGAAATTCCTATTGAATTACCTCTCTATCGCCTCTTCGCGTCTCCTCTTCAGTATCTCACGCGACTTCTTCTTCCTGGCATAATACCGCCGGCACTTGTGGACGCAGTAGATGACGCAGCAGCTGCCGTACACGCAGATGAAGAGCGGCAGGACGAGAAACATGGCTTTGTTGTTGTCGTCGTCGAGGAAGTCCCCGCCGGCATCGTCCCCGGTGGGCTGGGCTTCGGTTGTGGACGCCGAGCTGTGCTCGAGGAGGAGGAGGGAGAAAGCCAGTGCTGCAACGGAACGGGAATTTTAAAAAAAGAAGAGGATCACGAAATCACCCGAGCAGTGGCGTACCTTGACTAAATTACGCCAGGGGCTGCTAAATCACAAAATTTACATGCAGAATCGTGGAGTGCCTCATAGTTGTCTTAAGGGATCAGTGACGACCCCACACACCCTGGGGAAATCCATATATTAAGTACGCTATGGGGAAAAAGAAAGGGGGGGATTTCTGGTATTGGAGATTTTGCGCATGGGTGATGGGGGGGGGTCTTGATAGAACGTACGTACATGTATGTAGTTGTTGGATGATTATTTTTTTGAGTGATGGTGGTGGGTTGGAGCGGTGAAAGCTCATTTAGACGTTCGCAGGCGGGCTGTGCCCAAAAAGTGCGGCTGTAACCGCGGGGGGGGGGGGGTGGGGGGTGTTGACATGTGAATTTTAAAAATATTTCGTTAAATTAAATGGCCGGCCCCTTATATGAGCTTAATATTAAAACACTGCAAGGACCTCTGCGAGCATAGCGGCCGTGCCCATTCAAGACCCCCTGGCGTTTAATGGGTTTGGGTATTCAGGACGGTCACCGAGGTGCGTGTTTCTCAACAGCCACTCTGAGTCATGAAAACTGTCGCAAATAACCCGCCAAAAATGGTCAACAGAATAAATCGACGCTGAAATATCGAGATCCCAAATGGTGATAATTATAGCAATGCCCTTCGACCATATCACAGAAAAATCCCACGAGTCTTTTAATGTCCGGTTCGACCTACCTTGCGAAACTGCTCCATTAAAGACAGTGGCCGCAACCTTCATAATTAGTGCTTCCCAGCTTACCGAGCCGAGCCGGTTTTCCCTCATTAACAAACGAGCCTGACAGCGGAAGTGACGAAGCCGGCAAGCGGCTGTTCCATTATAAAGGTGATGGGCCCTGCGGCTAGAAGACACGGGTTCACTTCCGGTGACGATGTGGTGGTGTTGTTGACGACTTTTGATGTTGTGTGCTCCTGTCGTCTGTATTTTCTCCGGTCTCCTAGCAACGCGACAGCAGAGAGTGATTGTGCTTAAACATCTATCGTTTCATTTCTCCTTCGCCATTTATAGATTTGGTTAAATCTGATTTAGAGAGGGAAAAAAAAATATATATATATATTTAAAACTTCTTTTTGAGCAGTTGGTCACAATTTACTTTTGTCCACAACACTCCTTGAGCCATAAAACACATATCTAGCGCCCCCTGTCTTATCCTGCTATAAGAATGGCAATAAATAAGAACTTCTAAGAACGGTTCTAACAGTACATAAAGTTTTAAAGAGTTACATATTTTCAAAGCTTTAATCAGTATACGAATTTAAGTTACAAGAATGTCGTGCTACATTCAGTTGGCGTTCGGTTTGCCCGATTACCCTTTAGCATTTCGCCTTGTTCAAACTACATAGCACCAGCTACACAATTAATCTCGACCCCCAAATAAACTCAACAACAAATCCCTATACAGAAATCTCTAATTACCAAAAACGTAACCAATGCAAACTACATGGCAAGAGCTACACAATTAATCTCCAACCCAAAGACGCTCACTGAAAAATCATTAGACTATACCGATGACTGACACACTATCTACGGTGTTATGGGATACATTCACCAAGAAAAAAAAAATACTTATTTTCGGAGAGCAAAGAGCATAAATGGGTTGGTGGATATCATTTCCGCTTTCACATCATTTGTGTTTGTTATATAGTTTGGCTAAGTAAACATGGATCGGATGACGTCACCGTGAATTGAGAGGAAAGAAATTATTCAGAGTAACGGAGTACATTTTATTTTAAAAACGATATTATTGGGTCTTGGCATAATCAACCCTACTTAACTTACTGGAATCGAGTTCAGAAAGAACAAACATGATTTTTGGAACCAAGCCAACTTGGTAAAATTAGGCGGCAACCACAGGCAAGCTACTCTGTTTAACAAAAATTTTAACGCAACCCATGTTATAGATTTCCTGTTTTTGTATTATTTTTTAAAAAATACCTTTATGATTTAACATGGCCTTAACTATTTAAAGGAGAATCATAATTTTTCTGGCAAACCTTTTACCTGTATTGTAATAACAAACTTGTTTACTGAGTAATAATTGTTCTGAATGGAATTTTTCGGCATGGTGGAGTTATACTATGTTTGGCTTATAGACAATTAGCAGTATTCTCAAATTCCTGAGCTCAGACACGGAGAGTCTATATCTTTAACATTGAGCTATTTAGACAAAAACATCAGAACACTGGGACAAAGACATCGAAACATTTTGAATAGAATATATTTGGACAAGGACATCAAAACATTGGGACAAAAACATCAGAAGCATTGGACAAAAACATCACAAAATTTTGACTTGTCTGAATGGAGATTGAACCTACGATAGACGCAAGTGAACTTCAAGTCCATCAAAAAAAATTCTCCCAGGGGCAAGCTACTGTATTTTTACCTCAAATATAAGTGTATCCTAAAAAAAGAAGTGGGATATCTTTAGAACTTACTATATCTTCCCTTCACTCCGCTTTTCATCCATTCATTAATATACCATTGGATAAGGGAACTTCAGGTTTCCCAAGTCGACTTTTGTTTATATCTTTGCTTTTGAAACAAAACTGGTATAAACCAACTCGACCTTTTGCGCCCAGCAATCAACTTTTGGCACCAGAAACGTACTTACTGTCACGAATCGGTGCCGAATAAAATGATTGAAAATACTCATTTAGTGAATAGCATGTTATCGCGGGCCATTGGGCACTTCCTCATGTTTCAATGTTGTTTATAGCAGTGCATTTCGAACAAACAAATATATATATTTTTTTTTAATTTACTTAAAAGGAGCACTGGAAAACTCTGATTAAGTAAAAACAGAAGGTTAAACATATAACTGAGAATAGTTAAATATATAACTGAGAATAGTTAAACATAAAACATAAACCATCTATCTATCTATCTGTCTATCACAGTCCTTGCTCACGACGCAAATATCTTTACCTAAACGTTTGTTCCGTTGTTGTTGTTGTTGTTTTAAAGTTATCGTTTCTTCGCTAAAGCTTTGACGAAATGACGCTATCAGAACACAAGTACTGTGGACCGCCTTGCCCGTCCGTGACGCTTTGGTGGGGGGTTCTGTCTGTGGCATGGTCACCGCAACCACACGCGGTGGGGGGGGGGGGCGGCACCCTGGCGTTCTCAGTGCACCCGGGGGGGGGGGGATCAAATCGAACTCATCAGGGGGGGGGGGTTGCTGGGGTGTGCATGGGG